TGGTGGGGCAGGCTGGGTGGGGCTCGACTTCTCCCTCTACCCGGCCCTACCTCCTCCCTCTCCTCTGGCCTGGACTGCTAATGAGTACCTTGCTCCCCGACTCCATYTCAGCATCTGGACAGCCCAACCTACAACAGACTGGCCCTGGAAGGGGATGGACCCTTCCCCAGCCTCCTCCCTCTCCCTCTCCTCTCTCCTTACTGAGCCTACGCTTGAGCATCTCCCGGTCATACAGACTACTGTTTGTGCCTGCAAAAGTCTGTGGATTCCCACGTGTCTTGGCTTTGGGGTGGGTATTTCGCCTGCAAAAAGTGTCCTTCCTGCCCTCCCCCTCACCACCCAGCTAGCCACCTTCTAACTGTCCTGGGTGGCTCAGTTCCAATGGCCTTCCCCTCTAGCTGCCCACACAGACCCCCCACACACACCAGGCAAAACGTGTTGTTCCCCTTCTTTCGTCCCACCGCACCTCCCCTACACCCCATCAAGATGCTAACTGTTCACTTATGATCTCTCGGCTCTAGCACGCTACAGAGCCTTGGTTCCCTGCTATCTGTCTAGCCCTGCCCTTGGCACACAGTAGGAGCACATCGGAGTCTGCTTTCGGTTGCTGTAACTGGCTGCCTACCACAGACTGGGTCATTGAGGCTTCTTTAGCTCACGGTTCTGGAGACTGGGAATCCCAATAGCACCAACGCCCATCAGCACTTTCCAAGGGTCCTCCTAGCAYCTCCTAACATGGCAGAGGGCGTCASGAGGAAAGAGAAAGAAAGCACTTACCTCCCAAAGCACCACTTCTGAATATCATTAACATATGAATATGGGAACTGTTTGTTTTGTTTTTAGTGACAGACATTGAACCCAGAGTTGCTTAACCACTGAGCTATAACCCCCCATCGTGTGTGTGTGTGTGTGTGTGTGTGTGTGTGTGTGTGTGTGTGTGTGTGTGTCTGGGGCTGGGGACTGAACCCAGGGCCTTGTGCCTATGAGGCAAACACTCTACCAACTGAGCTACGTCCCCTGGGAACTATTTCCAACACAGAAACTCTGGAGATTCACATTCGAACCATAGCAGAACACAACAAATGTGTATCCAATGGAATACGTCTAAGTGCACGATAAGCAGAATTGAGATGCTCACATGAAGGACTCATCCCCAAGCCGCCGGTTCTTTTAAACCCCTCCCAACCCCACTGCAGAACGGGGGCTCCATCAGGCACAGAAGTGACCGACACACAGTACACACGACCCCTAAAGAGAGCTCAAGGTCACACACACACACACACACACACAAAGCACAAGAGGGTGTCCCCATAACCACGTGACTGCCTGGTCAGGGGTCCATGCAGAGGTATCGAGGTAAACCAATACCACCTGTGGCCAGGGCTCATCGGCACTCATGCTGGTGACCTGGGGCCACTTGTCCCCCACGTGAGACCACATTCTCCTCCATATCCCAGCGTGGCCACGGCCTACCTACCACCCAACTATCTTCCTCTGGGACTTTTTGGGGCAGAGCACTGCCCTCCAATGCCATCGCCACCCCTGTCAGGTAACGAGGAGGCAAAGTCAGAAAGATAGGAGCTACCTGTCTGTCCCTCCTGAGACGGCCGTGTTCTCCCTCCAACACCTTGCTTTACCCAAAGGCTGCGTTTCTTCAGACCCCCTTGAACATGGATCTACTTTCCTAAATACATACACCTCTGTCTGCGCCTCTGGAGGAAAAAAAAAAAACAATGAAGAGCAGACAGGAACCTCTACCGAGAGCTGATTTCTGGAATATGGATTTAGAGAAAGGGGGAAGGGCAGGCACTGTGGGCTGAACGTCTCCCACCAAGTCCACACAAACCCCAGGGTGACAGCACGGAGAGCAGAGGCCCCTGAGAGRTGACCAGATCATGCAGGTAGAGTCCTCAGGAATAGGATTAGTGCCCTTATCACAGAGAGCGGCGATCCTTTTTCTCCTTTTTCTCCTTCCCCCGTGTGAGGTGGGAGTAGGRAGGCGCCGTCGATGAACCAGAAAGTGGGCCCTCGCTAGACACCATGAGGCTTCTAGCGCCCTGATCTTGAACCTCCCAGCCTCCAAATCTGTGAGCAAGAAATTTCGGTCATAAAAAGATCATCCAGCTTAAGGCATTTTTGTTATAGTAGCCCAAAAGTTCTAAGATGATGGGGAAAAATCAGAACAAAAAAAAATATGCAAAGGTGATTTATCATTTGGAGATCTGGCACCAGAATGGTAGAAATGCTTTGAATGAATATGGGTTCATTTACAGTGTGTCAGGCACTKTTCTAGGCACAGGGACAAATCAGGAGCTTACAGTAGTGGCCCCATGTTGGTCCATTGTAGCATTGAGCTACAATGTTACCAGTTCAACATCCAAAGACAGATTTATTTCTTTACTGTTATTTCTCATAAAAGCACCAAGAGGGACTTTCCATTCATTATACACAGCTCGCTTTTAATTCCTCCTTCTCGCCTTCCCCATTAATCATTCACACACAGTAACTGTGTCCCAAATCTCTGTCCCCACAGCTGCAAGTGCCAACTCCCTGCAGCCAGCTCAGTCCCCCTTTAATGCAAAGCAAAGGGCCATGATGACAGAGTTGAAGAAAAAAATTTTTTTTACATCCTTTCTCAAAGTTGGCTTCCAGGGCTGGGGCTAGCGCGTGTGAGGTGCTGGGTTCGATTCTCAGCATCACATAAAAATAAATTAATAAAATTTTAAAAGTCAATATTAAAAAAATAAATTGGCTTCCAATTCAGGAAGGAAGCCACCGGAATTCAAGACCCCCAAACAGGGACCCCCCACATGTTACCAGACTTTATCAGAAAGAAAAACAAAAAGGGAAATCCTTGGGAGGCCACTGATTCTCCGACATCATGGCAGCAGCCAGGGTGCTGGGCAAAAGCAGCCTCCAGCTGGTGTTTATCAAAAAAGATGGTGAGTCGGAGCTCCAGTGTTTATTGTGAGGAGGTAAAAGGTCCTTTGTCATTGTTTATTGGCCATTTCTGACACATCGGGCGGCCAGTGTGGACTCCATCCTTTTGTTGGATGGAAATTAATTGTTTTAAAAAAAATCATTCATCAAGTTCTGAATAACTGCCTTCTGCCTGAAGACTCAAAGTTGGTAATAAATTCTGCCAGATGTTTTCGTCCCTCGTGAACCAGGGAGCCTGACAGACCAATGTTCACCACTTGATCCAGGCTGGAACAAAACGGAAAGGAGATTATGGCTCAGCTCTCTACCACCATTGAGAAATATTTGTTTGGGGGCCAGAGGTCCAGTTCAGTGGTAAAGCACGAGTCTAGCATGTACCAGACGCGGGGTTCCATGTCCAGCACCCCAAAAAGAGAGAGGGAAAAATTTGTTTTCATAGTGGTTCTGCATCAGGAGAAGGAGGGGGCAACCTTTCTTTCCCATACAGGGAAGTCCCCTCACAGTGACTGTCAGAACAGGTCCACATGGAGAAGTCCTCCAGTAGAACCTAACAGCTGGTCACTCTCCTAGAGAAAGAACATCATTTTTTTTTTTTTTTTTTTGCTAATAATACACCAAAGAAACAAATGCGCTGGGTGATCTAGAAGTTTCCTCGACTGTCAAAATTAGAAAATAGGACTCAGAATCCAAAAGCTGCTGTTTCTAGATTGTTCTTTGGCCCTCAGAACCTCTTGTGAAAAAACTTCAACCCTTTCACATCTTGCAACCCTCAAATTGACTCAACCCCATTTTAAATATTCACTACCCACCCTCCCCCAATTTTCTAAGTAAGTTACATTTTAAACAAACAGAGAATTTCTGCTTTTCTTGTTCAACATGTAAGTCAAAGATGAGCTACTTAACTGGTGATGGGTTACTCTGACCTTGTTGTAACCAAACCATAAATCATGGCTATTGTCGTTTCTTCTAAAATTATATTTTGTTTCCATCCAACCCTTGACTCTAAATCTTTCACTGTTTGGGAAATAGTGTTGGAATTTAGTATGGAACATGTAGACAACGAGATCTTATCTATTGCAGTTCAGCATTCACTTTGGAAAATTTTAAAACTTGTTAAAACATTAGTTATTAAACTAAGGTCTGGGGGGGGGAGTGCTTTCCCTTTGCTCTTATTCATTTGAAAACAGAATAAGAACGGTAGTTTAAATAATCAAAGCATAAAAACATCTGGAATGGCACCAACCTAGCAAATGTCTTCTTACTATTTTCCCTTCCAGATGCGCACAGAATTTCACACATCTGCAGTGGTACTGCCTGGAGATTTTCAACCCTGTTGGATACAAATGTAACTTGGTTTTTTTTTTTTTTTGAACAAATTATTAATGAAGGTTGATTCGTCCTTTCTCCATCTAGCAATACCTAGTGACTGGGCATCTGTGCACCTGCTATCCTTTCTCTGCATTACTTGAATAATGAATATTTACATATGCTTTTAACTTTCTCAAAATGCTTTTATAGGGCTCGGGGTGGAGCTCAGTRGTAAAGCACATGCTTGGCATGCACAAGGTCCTGGGTTCAATCCCCAACTCCCAAGAAATGCTTTCCTATTCGTCATCTCACTTCATTCTTAGGGTAATTCAGTGAGGTTTTGCTCTTTTCATAAATGCAGGAAAATAGGAAGGTATGTCGTGCTGCGGCCATCAGATACCTCCTCAGCACACTTTTTCTCTGAAAGACCAGAGAGTGAACCGCAGTCTACAGGCCATGCATCCTGTTGCAATCATTCATCCCCGCTGAGAAAAGCATCCACAAACAATACACACATGAAGACACAAGCGGATGTTCCAATAAAACCTTATTTGTTGCATACCAAGATTTAAAGTCCTAAAAGCAACTATAGACTGTATGCAAATGAATGAGCCTGTCCGTGTGACAATAAAACTTTATCTGTGACCACTGACATTTGAAATCAGATGGTTTTCATGAATCAGAAAATATTATTCTGCTTTTGATTCTTTTTTTTTTTCAACCATTGAGAAATGCTAAAGCCGCTCTTAGCTTGTGGGCAGTACATCTACAGGCGGTGAGCCCAGCTGGCCTCGCTCGCTCTGGACCATCGTCTGCCAACRCCCGGGCTGGAACACAGACTCTTGAATTAGGAAAGACCATTAAGGAGCTCTGATTTAATCGCCTCTGCTTTCACGGATGAAGAAGAATCGGATGCCTGCAGAAGGTAGGGCGGTTTGCTACCCCTGACTCTGAAGTTCAGTGCACTTTCCACCAAAAAAAAAAAAAAAAAGCACTGCTTAAAATCAAAGCGAATAAGATGCCAATTAAAAACTGCAAAAACTGCTCAGCGTTATGCCCCAAGACGAGAACACCCCGTGCTGGCTGCTCAGCCCGTCGCTGCTTTGCAGACAGCTTTTGGCAGGCTTTCAGAGGGCTTGAGAAACGATAACTGGTTAGGCAGCAAGAGTTCCAAGAAACAGCGCCGTGACTTTTGCTCGGCTACTTCCTTGCACTACTGTGATTTAACTCCTCTCCTGCCTTGAGTCGTGAGATCCCCGAAAAAGAAGGCAATCGGTACTTGCCATTTGAACGTTTGTAGTAGTTTCACTTTTTAGACCAGCTTGGCCAGTCCAAAAATAGAATGAGCCACCAGGCTCGGCTTCCAGGTAAGGGTTAGCAAAGACTCGGGTTGCATAAGACCACAACAAGACAGTTTGGCTCCCKCTCCCTTCCTCCTGTTTGCTTGAGCTTGGGGGGTTTTCTTTTCCTCGTTTTCATTTGTCACCTACTGTTTCAAGAGGAACAAAACCTCCATCATGAGAGGTGGCCTGGCAGCTGCCCCAGAAGTCACAACTGAGTGTGAGAAAAGCCCTTCCCCACGTAGGACATTCCGAAAGCTGGAGTGGAGCTGCGTGTGTGTGTGTGTGTGTGTGTGTGTGTGTTCGTGCATCCATGTGCCCATGTGCATGGAGGGAAAAGGGAACTGGAGCTAAACTCTGGCTCTTTAGGAGAAGGAAATGGAATGAGCAGAGCTGAGCTTTAAATCTCAGTCAACTACCTGAGCCCTAAACTTCACCCTGCCACGTGGGCAGACAAMAGAACACTCTTCTCTGAACTGCTTCCTCCATCAGCCTCTGCCCTCGGCTCCTTGTTCAGTGGCTGTCTCTGTCCCTCTGGCCTGGCGGCCCTGAGTCATCGGCCTGCCTGACCCTGGGGCCAAGTGACCTCCAGTCCCCGGCCCAGCCCCCTCCTTTGAGCTCCAGTTGTTCCTCCCGGGTGGCAGAGCGTGCCCATAGGAGGAAGCCAGGCTTGGGCCTACAAGGGAGGAACCTGTYGGCCTCTGCTTCTGGCCTGGGAGCCCCCAAGACCAAAGACCCTGTGTCCTTGGCCCATCACTGGGTGCCAGGCCCTAGTGAAATGCCTGACACACAGCCCCAGAAACTTTGCTAACTGTTGCCGACTGAATGAGCCTCGTTCCAAAAAATTGAGCTTGGTCCCAATGGTCCAGTGAAGACTATATCTGTCCCATAAGGGTCTCCTGCCCCCATAGGTGCTGGACTGAGCAGTGGTCCACTCTGATCTCCCAGGGCAGAGACAGCTGTGGGACCCATGTAGCAAAGGACCCCTGACCTTCTAGGGGTGGTGAGGGGTGCCGGGGGTCATCTACCTGTTTGCCTCTGTTTGATAGGGTGAAAATGCTCACCTGGCAAGAGCACGCGACAAACCCTGGATCCTCAGAGTACTTTGAGGAGGGATAATACCTTATCCACTGAGTCCATCAGCAGGACCACAGGTAGAACTTTCTAAAGTGTCCAGAAAAATGAAATAAGGAGCAAACTGGAAAAAAAATCTAAGAAACGTACCTATAACATGCCCTCCCTCTTCTTCAGCTTCTTCACCTCAAAAATAGACAACATGACCACCTTCCTCCCAACTTATCCCCTAACTTGAAAGATCATCCAGTATTGGGTAGGGATGCTTGATTCAGATACTTTCCCCCATTACTTCTTTCAACATTTATTGAGCATCTACTATATGGCAGGTTCTGGTTTGAGTTTTATGAAGAAAAAAAAAAAAAAGAGAGAGAGAGAGAGGAAAAACAGAATCACTGCCCCTGAGACGCTTGCAGTCCACAAACTTTTATTAAGCATCCGTTAAATGCCAGATGCAAAAAAAAAAAAAAAAAAAAAAAATAGGTCCATAAATCAATGAAAAGGATAAGAAAATATGCAAAGAATTGTAACACATCTTGAAGGATACAAAAAGTTTGCTTTATACGGAGGTCAGGAGAACGTCCATAAAGTGAGTTTTAATTGCACCTTGAAAAATAAAGAAGAAGAAAGAGTGTAGGGTGGAAAAGAGGGCCAGTTTGGAAGGAGAGATCTTATGGACTAAGTATACAGGATCCAGGCCTAGGATACAATCATTCAGAGAACAGCAAGTACACTCATCCCTGAGTAAGTATCCAAGGGGGATTGCTTCTTCCAGGACCCCCACAGATACTAAAACCCTCAGATGCTCAAATCCTTAATACAAAATGGCACAGTATTAGCCTAGAACCTACACACATTCTCCAGGAAGCTCTAAATCATCTCCAGGTGACTGTGATCCCTAATGTCACATAAATGCTGTATAAATAGTCCTCTCGTATGGTTCAGGGACCGATGGCAAGAAAAAGCTGGTCTGCCTTCAGCACAGAAGCCGTTTTGTCTTGTCTTGTTTTGTGTGACTACTGTATTTTCCATCCACAGTGGGTTGAACTTGCAGATGCAGAATCAGCAAATGCAGAGGGCTGACTGTCCCCATGGGCTGCGGGGGAAGCTGACAGAGAAGACGGGAAGGCCAATGCCKTGCTAAAAATAAAAATGGTAACCTACCCCACATGCACCGAGACCCGGGGAAGGCTCTCAAGCCACAGAACGCAACCACACGCTTGGGAAAGAGGAATGAAAAGACCRGGAACAGGAAAAATCCAGCTGGAGTTCCAGCGCCCATGTTCTGACGGCCATTCAAGTGCCCCTTCCTACCACACCCAGCAAGCAGGGCAAGAYCCTCCAGGAAGCCTCCCATGTTCATGCTTTGGAAAGGAGCTGGGACCTTCTGCAAAGCAGACATCAGTTTGCAATGGGGTCAGGGAAGAGCTGGACTGTGAGCCCAGGAAGGTGGGAMGGGTCGTGCATTGGAAAGGTCTGGCAGAGGTAGCTCAGGCCCCCCCCCCTCGGGGCCTGGTAGTGGGGGAGATAAAGCCCTCTCCCTTTCGCCCATCCCTCCTCCTCATCACCATCTGCATAAAATCTCTTTGCAACTTACAAAACACTGCCCGCCTTCTGTCCCGAGGAGGACCTGACTCCTGGAGCAGATGTGGATGGGGAAGTCTGTTGACATGACTAATCACTGTAGAGGGTGCTGGAAAGAGAACCCAAGGCTAGAAACCAGCGAAGGCAAAATGATGTCACAGCTCAAGAAAGAAAGGACCATTCATGGCTGACAGGTGTGCGACATTTGCAACTCCRAGGTTTATTAACAAGGACCGGCCTGAAACATTCTGGCTTGTCCATCAAATAAAAATCTCAAACAAATGAATTCCACAAGTCTTATCAAATACATACACAGGCTGTAGTTATAGTTATTAGGATAATCAGAATTCATAATTGCATTTAGTTCCTTTTTTTTTTTTTTTTTGGTACCAGGGATTGAACCCAATCCCCAGCCCCTTATATTTATTTTTTTATTTTAATTTTTTTTTTTATTTTTGAAATAGGGTCTTGCTAAGTTGCTTAGGGCCTCACTCGGTTGCTGAGGCTGGCTTTGAATCTGTGATCCTCCTGCCTCAGCCTCCAGAGCCAACGGGATTATAGGCATGCGCCACTGCGTCTGGCTTGCAAACTCTAAGTTTAAATTGAAAAAGATTTCCATATCATTGTTACATGCACTGTGGGTTCTACTGCTTTTTGAAAATACTGCCCAGTATAATCCAGGTTATGAGTATTAAAAAAAATAAATAATTACAATAATGCCAAATCCAGTGTCACAGGCTTCCATTCAAAGATCAAGCACCTGTAAAACGGCTTGGTCAAAAGACGACAATGTAACTAGAGTGCTGTAGTACATTATGATGACTATAAATTATTAATACGATTCAATTTTAAGAGGTAGCTAAATGCTCACTAGAGTATTTTAAAAGCAAAACAATCTCAAGGCATCAGCTTGAGTTATGCAAAAACAAGTTGGTAAAATATGACAACATAAGGAGGAGAATCATTTGTTCTCGGCTCTGGGAGTGTCCTTAATCGCTAACTGGTCTTCTGGGTTTTTTTTTTTTTTTATTAATGTTGTTGGTTTTTCAGTTATTTTACTTAATGTCAATAAAATTAATGACCACTAGGAAGGCCRCAGCAAGAGAATCACTGGAGCTCACGAGTTGGATACCAGCCTGGGCAACTTGTGGAGACCCACCTCTAAAAGAAAAGAAAGGTAACAAAACAAAAACCAAAACACATCTCTTAATCTGAGGTCAGGAACGTTTTCTAGACGCATCATTGGATTGGTCATTTTTTTGAGGAGAAAATATTGGTCGTCGTTACCTACCGGTTGTCTTACTACGGCCACTATTTCTACTACCAATATTTTCTCCTCCAAAATACACTGCCACCTCTTCACTCTATTGGAGAATTCTGTATAACGAATTAGACTTGTTCCRAAATTCAGTCATAAAATCATAACTAGAACTTTCCAGGGCAAATGTGAATATTTTTTACAATTCTGGACACCTTGACTAAACATCTCTCTTATAAAAGTTATGACTCTTCATACTCCCACCTGAAATGTAAGAGAAAATCTCACAGCATTCATGCCAGCACTAAGTGTGATCATTATTTAATCTTTTCTAGAAGATTTCTTTTATACTTTTCAAAATAGCACATTTTATACTTTTCAAAATAGCACATATGCTCATTTGAATACAGCAGCTTCTTACAGTATGAGTTTGCATTTCTTTGAGTAATGTAGGACATTTTTAAACCATGTATAGTTGTCTGTGATTTTTTTCACACAGTTTCTTTGTTCCGATTTGTTTGTTTGTTTGTTTGTTTGGGCTCCTTTGGTGAAGTTTTCTGGGGTTTTTTTTTCTTTGTGTGTGTGTGGGAGTGGCACCTTTTCTTAACGGTATACTTGAACTCCACGATTGCTTCCTTCATTTTGCAAGTGTTTACTGAGTACCACAAGACATAAGGCAAAGTCATCTAAGCACTGGAAAATACAGAAGAAAAAGTCTTTCCTCTTCTGGAGCTTAAATTCTAGTGGTATTTGTGATAAGTAATTGTGTTAAGATATAAATACAGGGCTGTGTGTTTTTTAATGGCGTGGGTTACATAATGGCTTCATGCAATGAACTCTAAGCACGAGGCTTAGCTCTGTGTTGGCACAGCACTGTGTTAGGCTGAGCGTGCGCGCACACACACACACACACTTCTTTTCCTTAACCAGTGGCTAACCTGGATTGCCACCCCCTCCAAAAATCCTGCACAGACCCGTCACTGACCTTCAGCCACACTTCTCAAAGAATCTGCACAAAGCTCCGACGTGCTTTCCTCTGTTGAAGCTGACCCCGAGCAAGATCAGTCCTCAAAAATCTAAGCCTCAGAATTAGTCAGAGCAGGAGAGAATTTTGGGCTTTAATATTTTGGCATAAACAAGAAAAAAAAAAAAAAAAAGCAAATCAGAAACTGGTCGCCTTCCAAGGCAGCCTGGGGTACAGATTCTGACCATAATAGGCCTCAAGGGCGCAGTCGCACCCAAGCCCCCCAAAGAATTCCAGACCTTCCTACTCAGACTGGGCGTGCTCCCTGGCAGAGGGCCTCTCTGACACGAGACCCGAGACTCCTCCAGAATCCCTGAGCTCACCTCAGACAAAGGCGGGTGTGTGTGTCCCTCCTACCAGTCTCCAAGTGGCTCTGCTCCACCTCCACCGGGTGCTTCTAGAACACTGGTTCATGCATCCTTTGCATGGCTCCATCTCTCACCCCTGCGGCCTGTGCCCAGCCCTCGGATCTTCCCCGCTGTGCCTACACACCTCCCATCACCTCCTTCCAGCTGCACCCTCCTCCCCCTTGCCACCCGTCCTGTGGGCCAACTTCCCCATCTTTCCATGATACAGACCCCCCCACACACACACCCCTCTTTCTTTGGCCTCCTTTGTCTCCTTACCAAATACCTCTTCCGCCTCCTGCCTTTTCCCACTTCCCGTGGCCCACTGGAGACGGTGGGTGTAGCCGGCCTTCCTCTCGCATCCCAGTGGTCCTTCCCATCCATCGCCTGGCCTTCAGTGCCCTGCTCTCCCCATGATTGACACTTCCCAAAGGGTCTAACCCAACACCTGTTCCCCCAGCAACTCACAAGATCTCCAAGCACCATCTCTCCCCGGGGCCATCTTTGTCCTCTACTAATCTCTTAACTCCCCATCTTTCCAGAACCTTCAGTTACTCAACCCCTGTCTATATYTGCCAGCCTTTCACCCTCTCCTACTCACCCTCCCTGGAAGGCATCGTCTATTCTGCCCTTTTCAGAACCTTGGACTCCTCCTACCCCCTCCCGTATTTCACCAGTAGGACAGCTGGGCCACTGTTAATGGCCACCATCCACTCTGACCCCTTGGCATTTGTCAGTGCCCAGGCCAGTCCTTCCTCCTACAAATGTCGGTAACATTCCCTCCACCTGCCATTTCTACTTCCAATTCTGCCCCTCCCATCTCAGCCAGAGGCGGGAAATTCCACCATCTGTCCCCATCCTGGGGCCACAGGAGACTGGACCTATGGTAGTCACCCGCCTTAAGAATGCCTAATAAAGCCAGGCACGGTGGCCCACGCCTGAAATCCCAGCAGCTCAGGAGGCTGAGACAGGAGGATCATGAGTTCAAGGCCAGCCTCAGCACAGCAAGGCACTAAGCAACTCAGCGAGACCCTGTCTCTAAATAAAATACAAAATAGGGCTGGGGAGGTGGCTCAGTGGCCAAGTGTCCCTGAATTCAATCCCAGGTACCAAAAAAAAAAAAAAAAAAAAAAAAAGAGTCCACCTTGTTGGAAGCATCGAGTTGCTTGCTGGAGAGTACTGCAAGACAATGCTGAGGGACCCCAGCAGCCCAAATCCACAGCAGAGGAGAAAGAAGTCAGTCTTCCAAGGAATGGAGCCAAGCAGACATGCCCAAGGGGGAGAGAGAGCCATGGTCAGAGCCTGAGGACCTGCCGGACAGCTTTCCAGTTCCCATGAGGTCAGCCTGAGATCCCCTGACCCCACACCACACACCCCAACCTCTCCTGGGCCAAGCCGGCTTTTGTTCCTTCCCACCGAGCCTCCCTCCACGGAGACACCTTTGCACACAGCTGCTGGGTGTCCCCACCGCCCACGTCTCCATTCTTTTCTTCCACCGGAATCTGTTTGCCCGTTTCTATTGACAGCGCCACACACAGCACACAGAGCCCGATTTTTTCCCCCTGAACAAATGCTTCCTGGCTTCGTCCCAAAGAGAACAAGCGGCCACCCCATGACTTAATCACACAACAGGTGAGCCGCTCCGTGCCAGCATTGACACCAGCTCGTCTCCGACCTGCTCCAGCGCTCTGCCCGCTAGAGTTTCCCCACAGCAACCCACTCGGACGCCTTTGTAGAGGATCCAGAAGTCTGTCGCACCTGTGGCCCCAGAGCAGCAGCGCCAGGCATCTGGCTGCGAGGGCCGAGGCCCGGGTAGGAAGAAGGGGACAAAATGTGTTCAAGTGAACATTCTCCTCAAATCASTGAGAACCTCAGCGAGGAGATTAATGGTTTCCATGGCAACCAGTAAGCCCGGGAGCCTAGGGAAATCTGTAGCGTTTTTCAAAACTCCTGGGGACAAGGGGACCCACCCTTTAACACAGCCGTTCTGCCACAGGCTAGAAAAAAAAATGTAAACTCTCTTTCTTTCTTTTTTTTCTTTTTGGCAGTACTGGGGATTGAACCCAGGGGCTCTCTACCRCCTACCTACAATCCGCAGCTCTTTTTTTATTTTTAGTTTTTATTTGGAGGCACGGTCTCGCTAAGTTGCCGAGGCCAGCCTCGAGCCTCCTGCCTCCATCTCCCAAGTAGGTGAAAACCACGGCTGGTTTCAGTGAACTTTTCCTTACGCGTTTTATGTCTGGGTCTAGAAGGATCAGTCCCAGAGAAAATTTGCTTTTTCGCTTTGGGGGCTTCTGATTGTACACTATTGTGCTGCACCCAAAGACAGGAAGTTCCTACCACTGTTCTGTCGGAGGAGGTCACGGTACAGGGGTATGGAAGATGGTCTCGCCTGTTTCGTTGGGTCTTGCTCATCATCCTTTTCTCTCCTCCTCCCCTGTCTCCCACTCTCGCGACCCTTGTCTGGTCGCTCACTTTCAGATAAAACACTAAACGTCACACGACGGTGGACTTGAATATAGCCTCTCGGGAGCACGTCCAAGAGAAGGGGGCTCGCTCTGGCCAGCATTCAGCTCTAACCAGCGGCAGGTACTTTTCCCCTTCGGACAACAGCTTTGGAATCACAGATCATCTTACCCAGATTTCCAC